AAGATGGATAGTTTTGATTGTAAATGGGAAAATATATATAGGCTGTGTTATCAGGATGATATGGATAAGATTCATTTGAAATCCCAGGGTAAAGAAGAGGATAATAACCCCACCAACCGCTGTCGTGGGTCCAAAATGGCGGACTAGGAGAGAGGAAGACACCCTGCTGATTGCCCGGCACGTTATTCTCTGTTTGGCAGTGGTAATCTGCTTGACGATTTTCTTGCGTGGCTACAACAAACAGCAGAATGCATTCAAACAAAGAAGTTCAACTATTCCTATTTTTGGGATGGTGATGTGGTCTTGCGTTTTTCCCTTTTGTCCTTTTTTCTCCTTTTTCTCTGCGTTTATTTTTTTTTCTGCTTCGATCTTCGCATTTTTTCGCATTATGCGAATTTTTTTGGGTTTTTTTTTTAATTTTTTGGTTTTGGGGAATGGAAGAACGAGTGATAGACATTTATTTCGTTTTCATCGTATAATTTTTAAATTGGATAATTTTTAAATAAATTAAACATAGAAGTTTATGAGATCTTGAAATTTTCAAAACTTTTATTTCACTTCACAATATCAATCATTAAATTCTAATAAGAAAGTAAAAAGATAAAAGATTAGATAAGAAATGCAGATTTCGACATATGTACATATGATATTATCTCACGGAATAATTATCGAGAAAATATTTCGAGTATTTTTCATGCGATAACTCAGGAATTCGAATGTTTGCTTGGTACACACTTTTATTGTACTTTTATTGTATCATTATTTACAAAAAATATTAAAAAATGTATCACGATTCTTCAATTATATATATGCTAAAAATTAGTAATTGAATCTCCAAAAAATTAAAAAAAATTCTATACATTTTAAAACCTATTATTGTAATATTTTCAAAAATAAATGTCTAGCACGAATGATCTTCTAATTGGCTCTGAAAAATTGATGGACAAGCGAGATTGGGCAAAGGATTAAGCGACGAATTGTAATCACGAAACGAAAGAGAGAAAGAGAGAAAGAAAAAAAAAATCGTGTGAGATCCTGTGTTCAAAGGAAACGATCGAAAATTTTGTTGTGAACGCAAAACCAGTCGACGTGAACGAACGACTATTTACGCTCGAATAGGAAGACATGCTTCTTAGGATATTCTGGACAAGATGATTAGAGTCCAGAATATTCGTAAATATATCCATTTACATGCAAGTGATCACTTGTAATAATATTAAAATCCCAGCGAGAATTAAACACATGTGAAATCGATTAATAGTACATGCAACATTCCCGGTTAAGTTACCCAAGTCCATCGTAGCTTGCCATACTTTTTGTACATTAATTTTTATTATCATAATATATATATAATAAGGAACTATTTTTAAAGATCGATTTTATTTATGACGATAATCGGACGATGTTATCAGATAACCAAGAAATATAGAAAATTAATTTTTTATTGTTAAAATATCTTTTTTTTTTTATTTTCGTAACAGGAAAAAATTTATAAATATCGATTTCATAAAAGTTATAATTTCCTTATATAAAAATGAAAAAATTTTAATACTTTTTATTTTTGAAAATAATTAGTTTGCAAGGTTTAACAAAAATTCGAAAGAATGAAAATAAGAAATGTTATGGATCTTATGGATCTATCTTATTAAATTTTTTGAATGTATTTTTTGAATTCATTGTAATTGAACGCAGAAGTAAATATATAACTCAAAGTATAATCCATTAGAAATTCAAATTTTAAGTTTTAATAGTTATTCAATTCAATAAATCAATATAGTTATTTATTTTGTAATATATTTTTTTATCCTAAAAAAGGAACAATAGAACTTTCTTGGTTATCTAACACAAAGAATATCTGATTACTAATATATCATTATAATACTAATTCGACGAAAATAGATGGATAATTTCACCTACCATGTTTTTTAATAATTCTTTTTAGTAATCACAATTTTTATAATTTTTGTTTCAAATTTTATAATATTTCATCGTTGCTCGATGATTACAATTTGCGTCACTAATTAAGTACACAATTAAGAAATTATGATTGTAATTTACAACACACTATATACTTCTCTTTAACAAAATAATTTTCAGAAGAGGAAGAGTGAAAGTTTCAATCGAGCTGAACGATATACCAAGGAATTTTCGTTATTCCTGTGAACACAGGATTCGGGGACGTTCTAGCGACGGCACGCAATCGTTACTTCAAGTTTTTAATCGTTAAATTAGAAATTATAAAGACGCTTGTCACTGAAAATTAATGTATACAAGGGTCAATAGAAGCTTGTTGCGATTAATTCATCATGAACGAGTAGCGTGTTCTTGCGTGAATTATGAACATGTTGTACCGCGTTTTCCTTTTATTTATTTATTTTTTGAATTTGGAAAAAGAGATTAACAATTTATTAAATTCGATGATATTTTTTTAATTTCATAGATCGATACTCACCGACACTTTCCGGCGCTGTCATCGCTTGTAATATCCTGAAAGATCTGGAGGGAATCGCGCTGCCCATGTATTTCTTTGGCTCTGGAACTTGCTGTTCACTTGGTGGTAGGTTTGCTTGCATTTCTTCTATAATCGTCACTATTTTTTTTTTTTTTTTTTTTAGAAGAAATTAACATAAACTAACAAACTGTAAAATTATAGAATTGCATTTGAAATTATGTTGAAGAAGAAAAATATTTTCTTAAAGAAATCACTATAAGCAAAATGTTATATCAAAAAGATCGTTTAATTGTGAATGGTGCATGGAAGTGTTAATCAAAAGTTAATCGAGAGACTGATTTACTCACCAAAAGTCTTGGAATTCCTGTTCTGCTTTTTATTAATAGCGGACGGTGGTCGTTGCGCTGTAATACAAGGTTTCACCGACTTATCACTCTTTTCAATATGATAAAATATATTTGTCTCTGTTACATCTTTGAATAAAACTTACTCGTGTTCACAACAGGGGCATCACCAGATTCCGTCATAGTCTGCAAGAAGCGGAAGGCTCGAGAAGGTATGGCCCCACCACGATATCTCGGATCTTCCTCGTGGTGGAGAGAGGATTCATTGTCGACTGTTAAAAAAAAAGTAACAAAAATTGATTAAACAATCAGAAACTTACAATATTTTATACTCGTTACATTATATATCGTTATACTTTGTTCCTTGAATTTATTCATCAAAATCCGATCATCCTCCGATAATTGAAGTTTTCGCATATTCTGTTCAGTGTCCACATCGTTCGCCGTGTCCGTATCCGTGATCTTCTGAAGAACTCTAAAGGATCGAGACTGAACTGGAACGGAATCCGACTGTTGGACTTGTTGTACAGGTATAATACGTTGCGTCGTTCTAAAATTTCGATTCGATAAAAGGTTAAATTATATATCCGTTCTCTTGATGGATTTTTTGAAAATCAATGCAAAATCAACGATTGAAACTAATTATGTACTGTAAAATACAAATATATGTATATCTGGAAAACTTATAATAGTTTAAAACCATTTCGACAGAAAATTGTTCAACTTACACTCTCGTATTCTGATTCTCAGTGTTGGCCACGTTATTCCTGACAATCGGTTGTGTATTTGAGTAAGTATTCGAAGTAATTGCTGCACCAGTCTTCTTATCATTTCCTTCAATCATGATAGGTATAATGTACGCGCCACCAGTCGATTGAGACTGCATCTGATTTTGCACTTGATTCTGCATCTGATTCCGTGCTTGACTCTGATTCTGAACAGTTGGCTGACCCCATCTCTGTTGGTGAGGACTCGGTTGCTTGAACTGATGATGGCCAGGCTCCGGTTTCACGTCGAAAACAGACGGTCTGTCTTCAATCTAGAACAAACCATTGGTAAGTTAGCTTTCGAATAACTTAGTTAGAACTTTCATTATTCAAACTAATAGAAAGACAAGACAATTATTTTTTTTATATAAACTATTTTATATTTTGAAAAAATTAACACTCACTCGGATAGGTATCACACGTTCTTGATGCTGAGGACTAGCCTGTTGTGTTACCACAGGAGGACCAGAGAAAGGACGTTTCTGTTGCTGATTGAACTGAGGTTGAGCCTGAGGTTGTTGATACTGTTGGTATTGTTGAGATTGTTGCTGAATCTGCACCGGTCTTTGTTGAATTTGCGGCAGAGATTGAGGCCTTTGTTGGACTGGCTGCTGCCTCTGCTGCTGAGTTTGTTGCCATTGAGGTTGTGGTTGAGGTTGTTGAATCAAAGATGAGGATACTGGAGGTGACGTTGGACTCTCAACCGAGCTTTGTTTATTCACGCTAGACCGTTTTGCCCATTCAGGTAATTCTTCCTGCGGCTTATTCTTGTTCTGCATCCACGGTGTTGGCGCCTTCGTCAAAGTCACTTGGGTTGGAGTGCTTGGACTCTCAGGAGTATTCGGCTGAACTGCGATTGTGGGGATTACTTTGGTCTCTGCTTTGGTCACGGCTTTTGGCGATTCTGGTTGCTTCTCTGGAGCTGAAACGATAAATAATTGTTGGTATATATATATATATGTGTGTGTGTGTATATATCCGTTATATATGTTCACATTCACTCTCTGTGTTAAGAAGAAGACAAGTTTAAAAATTCCAAAAATAATTGAATATAAAATTAAATTTAAAAAATGAATAAACTTACTACTAGGTTGAATCCTGTTAGCAGGTGGTGTGGAAGGTGTCCTGTTGACCGAGGATTGAACAGGAATATTGGTCGGGAAGACAGGTATCGCTACCTGAGGTTGAATGAATAAATTCGCTGTATTGGGCGCTGGTGTCGGTTTTGATTCAAGTGCTGACTTGGGAGGACCTTCGATTCCCTCGTCATTGGCGTTTTTTGCTACCCTGCGCGCCATTCGTGGGCTTCGAATTTGGGAGAGGTCCAGTTTCCCGCCCATTCCAGGCGTGTACGTGAAAGGCTTCTTGTCTTTAGTCAGCATAGCGTTTTGAATTGCTGCTGGTGGCTCGTATGCATCGTTGCTTGGTATGAACGGTTTTCTCGTTGTTGGCGCCTGAGATTTAATGTTTGGATCGATATCTTTTTTTATTTTTTAATTGTTAATTGATTAATATCGAGATACAAGTCTTTTATTTTTTGAAAATTTTTGAGGAGGGGATAGAAGTAATATCGAGGTATGTATTTTTTCAAAAATTGTAAGACTATGTTTGATATTGTTCCTCTGTTTGGCTCATTCTTTTACAATGATTTCAGATTATGTTTAAATATATGTCCGGACAAAAAACCCCAAAAGTTAAAAACAAACATTGGACCAGAATAAATATGGAACAAAGAAAATACAATGACCTTGAGTGGCGCCTTAATTTACAGACTTTAATTCCTCGTGACGGATCTTTATATGTTTTCTCTTTATATGAATTCCTCGTAATTCCTACTCGTTCATTTTTTTACAAATATATTCCCAGGAAAGTAATGTTTCGTTCTAACCATTTTTTTTTTATTATTCAATTAAAAAGAGAATGATTTACTGGTAAAAATATCATCGATTCATTAATTTCCAAAGTTCTCTTTTTCAAATTAAATTTTCACAACTAATTACATTTCATTTTAACACTCACCATTTTCTATCATTCGAAAAAATTCTAATATTCAAGAAGAAGAAGAAGAAAAAAAAAAAAAATTATAGGGTAAAACGCGAAATATTATTAATTAATTACTTTCACTAATTCTTTAAAATTTCCAGGTCATCTCGACAAAATCCACGAGATACGCTCGCAATGAACGACGAACGTGTACTGAACTCGAATTGCCGATCTTCCGCTTACCTCTGCGGTGTTGATTCTCATGGCCGGCACCTGGCTAGGTACCGGGGGCGGTGGTGGCGGTGGAGGAGGCGGAGGATAAAGTCCTGCAACGATTACCGATTTAATGGAATGCTAACTAGAGGTCAGGTATGCGCTATGTTGCGCACATCGTTCACACGTTTCCGTGTGGCTCACCGGAAACTCTGAACCCTCGCCAAGATATTTAATAATATTTATCAAGCTAATATCGTCTCGAATCGAAAATGTAAATTAATTTCAAGAATCGAACTTATTTCTCATCTGTGTCATTGACCATGATTTTTTTTAATTCGAAATGTCAAATTAATTTTACATATCATATGAATGTTAAATGAAGTTTTATAATAGGTATATTATGATACACAATCAACAATTAATTAATTAATTAAACATTTAAATAAATTTTCTTGCATAGGAAAATTATCTTCGATAAAAAGTTTTATAATTGTATATTGAATTAAAATATATTGAAATATGATAGATTATAATTTGTAAAATTTATTAGGAAGATGATAAAGGAGGATAGGAAGATGAAAAAAAGAAAATGACAAAGGGGAAGAGGAGGAAAAGGAAAGTGACAAAGAAGATAACGGAATAAAGGGAAGGAAAAAGGGAAGAATTGAAAGAAGCGGAATTGATAAAAGGAGAAAGGAAGAAGAATTAATAAATGATCGTGTGAAAAGAAATTGACAAAGAAGCGAAGAAAGAATTGAAAAAGGAATGACAAAAAAATAGGAAAAGAAGGAAACAGGAGAGAAAAAGAGAATATAAAAAAAGAAATGTAAGAAAGAGAGAGAAAAAAAGAGAGTGATAAAAAGAAATTGAAAGGAAGAAAGTAAGAATGATAAATTAGGGCAAAAGATAGAGAAAGAGATTGACAAAAAAAAGTCAAGAGGAAAAATAGAATATAGAAGAAGAAAAAAAATGATAAAGAAGAAAGGAGAGAATATGATATAATGTGATTATTTATATTGTTTTTAGAATAGAATTTCGAATTTGATATATTCTGAGATTAATAGAGATTTTATTAATACAATATAATTTCTAACTTTGACAACAATTTCTAATAATATTTAGATAGATAATGTCCACATTGAAACTGTATAGGTAGCAAATTTCAGATTGATATTTATTCCAATTTTTAACACCACGATTATATTCGAGAATATGAACGAGTGAAAGTTTTTTGCATAAGTTGCAGGTAAGTTTGGTATGCAATTTTTTTATGGTATTCACTGTGTGAATCGTAAAATCGTAGAATGACGGTTAATAGTGAACGGTAAATTTGATTTTCCAGACTTTTGTGGAGTGGATTTGTGAAAGTGGATCTCAAATATATATATATATATATATGATGGAATTTAAAATTTGTGAAGATAGATGTTTTGTATAAATACACATAGGAAACTACTGAGTATTATTTTTTTTATTAATTTTGAAATGAAAAAAAACATTTTTCAAATTTTATGCTGTTAAAAAAATAGCAGATCATATAAAATTTATTTTATTATTATATAAAATTTTTTTTCAAATTTGATTCAAAAAAAGAATCATATATTTTTATTTTTTTAAATTTATTTTTTATTTTTTGTTTTTAGATAGAAGATATTTTAAACCATGTAAATATATATATTATTGATGAATGTTCAGAAATATTTGTAAACTTTGAAGCGACGCATCTAATTGCATATCTTTAGCCTTTCATTCCATGATTATCACGAGGCAGCAGTTATTTGCATACGTCGCATATCTTCGTTTCAGCGTTTCGAGAGAAACGAGGTTCGTGAATAATTATTTTACTTTGGTATTTATGTACATACCTGCCGATAGGACGTTACTGCTGTCCGAATTCCTGAAAAGAAAAATATTTCACTTAACAGAATATCAATTATTGGATCATTAATTGCAATTAGGTAATGATTTAAATTTAATCTTCTGGATTTTTTTTTTTAATTTTTTTAAGATAAATTTATATAATTGCAAAGGATTAGTTTTTTTACGAATTATTATTAATATCTTCGCAATGTGAATATCAATCAAGCAGCTATAGTAGAATATGATTATTTAGGTCACAGTCAGTACACTGAGATAATAAGTAAAAAAAGAAATAGATACTAATTTGGATGATAATAATGGACGAGATCCAATCAACAATATGTAAGAGTTATTTTCATTACGTTACATCATCCAAACAACACCATAATTCGAAAGATAATTAATCAAACGATTGTCGGATTGTGGTAGTAATGCTTAAAGAGATAACGATGAAGATTTTCTCGTGTAATGGTAACTGGATGCATTCCTGCGTTATCTATGCTAACGCAGTATTCAAGTATTGAGTCACATAACATGGTATTGGCATTTCGATGCACATATGTGATATTGCAGTCTATTGTCAAAATGGCTCATTTCGTAATTAATAATAATGTTAATGAAAGTAATTTTTATGAAATTTTCAAATTATTAATAAATTTATTAATAAATTGAATTAATAAAATATATAATTTATTATTAATAAATTTCTAAAATTATTAAAATTTTATTGATTAGAGACCTATTAGCTGATTAATTTTTCCTCTAATATTGGTGAAGACAAGCTAGTTTCAAGCTATAATTTAGATAAATTAACAGATAATAAAACTTTTTATGTCTCTAGAAAAATATAATAATTTGAAAAATAAAAAGAAATAAATAGAAATTATAAGAAATAATTGAATAATAATTGAAGAAATAGTACTGGATATTTAACTAATAATTAATAATCACACTACAAGTTATCATAGTATGTATCATATTCTTTATTATCATAATATTAATCCTTATTTCAATATTAAAACTTTTTATACTTTTGGTTATCTGGTCGTCAACATAAGAATAAAACAATAATCTTTATTTTAACAAAATTAAATTAAAATGATATAATTGTTACAGGTGAATATGCTTGCAATGAAAGATGCTTGTAAATTCAATGTCTTTTTGTCATTTATTGCACAAGAATAAATTACATTGAAAAGTATTTTACTAAAAAATATAACTATGATTTAAATACCAAGTAAGTTTTAAAATAGTTGTAAAACTGATACTCGAATCGAACTTTCTATTTTCACCGTTCAATTTATTTACTTTGCGACACGGTAGCAGCTACCGTTTTCGCAATCAGCCAGCTGAACTGCTTTTGGTATTATCAAGGAACGAGCGGTAACCCACATACACTTACGTGACCGCCAGTTATCTTTCGATGACTCGACCATGTTTCATTGCTTAATCCCTTTTATGGAAGTTTCTCCTCGTTCGAAGGTTGAGTCGTTTAATTATTTTACCAAGTCTAGAACGTATACCGTGTGTCTTTCCAACCCTTTGAATTTACAAAAATTTTTTTTACATCTCCTAATGAATTGAAAATACTTTATCAATATGTTATTCGTGAAAAAGATTTCAAACTTTCAAAATTAGTAAAAAGAATTAATTATAAGTAGAAAAATTTATAACAGTTTTGAACAAGTATTCCATATTTTTTCTTATCTCTGAGACAATTCATAGATGATAGTTAAATAAATTTCAATGAAAGATGGATAAATTTTACAATTTTTAATTTATTCCTCGAAGATGCTCAAAGATCATTCGCTATAGAAATAGGAAACGATAAGTAATGAGATATCTGATCTATGTAACATTTGTTTTATTAGAAAATGCTTCGATTCGAGAATCAATATAAGTGGATATTGAATGATAATCGATGAAGCTATCATCGGGTACTCGATATTCATCGTTGTGGAACGTGTTCGTGACACGAAAAGTGGGCGGCAATTATATTTCACTGACGAAATTGCGTGTAGCTTATGATGATCCGCTATTTAAAGCGGTGATATTTTTGCAACGCGGTTTCAAGGAGCGGTCAACTACTATATTCGATATTGATGGTTTTCTATTTTTGCAGTTCGAATTGTTGGTGTGTTCAAGTGTCCGTTTGCTCGCCACGTTTTCGACTGAAGGGTGACTGAACTTTTAAAAACTTCTTTCCAAGAATTTGTTAATTGATGATCGATCAGAAGAAGGATTTGTAATTTGAAAGTTCAAAGTCAATTGATGGCTGATCAAAGAGAAGATAAGAAGAGATAATTTAAAAAGAAAAAAAGTTATGAAACAGAAGATTTTATTTTTGAAGGAATTAAATATTGAAAATTTTGAGTGAACGTTGAGAGAGAGATAGACTTGGATCTTAACTCATTAAAGATATTTTTTTAAATTAAAAATTGTGCGCAACACAATTATTGAAATGAATGAATTAATTTACTTTCAATTTCAAAGTTAGGAATTTTGAAAATTTGAACGATAAGAGAACTGTTAATTATTTTTTATGTTTTGAATATCACACGTAATTAATCACACAGTATCATTTTATAATTTTCAAATAATTTTTAACAATCATTGTTCTTTTTCTGTTTTAAAGAAAAACAAATGTAAATACTGTCATAAATTCAAGATATCCAAGAATGTTCTGATCTGAAAATATAGAAACATCTTTCGCAAAACGATGTTGAACTCACAACAAACTCGTGGTCTCGTGCGAAAATCTCTTTTAATAATAGAATTTTGGAGAATAGATTCGACACGAGGTCGCTTTTATCTTGGCATACCTATTGGTGCCACGTGCCATCTCGTTTTTCAACATTTTGTATTTTGATCTCTCACTTTATATACTCGTAAAATTAAGAGATTAATTAATATAATATATTCTTAAATAAACAGAATAATATTAATCCAACTATTCTCAATATTACAATCTCAATAGTTCTCATTCAATTATTTTTCAAAATTTCTTATTAACAGTACAAGAGAATACTTTGATAATTATTGAATATTTTTTTATATCAGCAAAATTAACATTTGTATTTTTTTATATATATATAGAATCTTGGATAAAATTCATCTCCTCGTTTATTACTGGATAAAAAGTGTTACAATTCATAGAATTTATCAAACGAAACCACGTTGAGCCTAAAAATTTGTAAATATTTTCACGATCGATCACTTTCACGAGATTATTTTCACGAAAACTGCCATCGTACCACCAACCGTGAACCCGGTTCGATTCTCGACTAATTTTAACATTGAATCAGACGAGTGACGTCATTGTTATCACGACTGGGATCGTAATTCAGCTGGTCGACTTTCTCGGAAAACGCGTCGATCGTTTTCACAGTGAGAAGTTTGGATGATAAATGAAATTCCAACGATGAACCAACCAAGAAAAATGATAAACGATAAAAATTCGAATGGTTCCAATTTTTACAAGCTGTAACTTACAGGAATTGATGATAAAAATGTGATAAGAGTGAGAGTCGAAAGTGAATATGCATCTTGCAAGAATGATTTCAAATTATTCAAATATTGCTTAAATTATTTGCAGATTTAAATATTTTGAATTCCTAGAACGGTAAGAAAAACTATTTGGGAATCCTTTGATTGGAAATTCTCAGAAATCTAAATTGAATTCCTTATGATTAAATATTTTACAATAAATTCATTTCTATAAAGTTATTTAGTCGAATCAAATATTTTGGATACATTTAGAACAATAAATTTTAGAAAAATTCCTAATTTTAAAGAATCTTTTTAGAGTTTTCAATAGATACTTAAGTTAATCATATTATATTTCAGCTTGCAAAACGAACAAACATAATTCATTTCAATGACAACTTATGCATTGTGCGAATCATTTGAACTATAAAACCATTCGCACAAAGACGTCAGCTACACAGAGATTAAGAAAAAGTAAATTGTTTGTAATTTAAAAATAAGCTCCAACCATTTCGTTCCATTCATTTTTATGCATCAACTTTTCTGTCTCTTTTGACATTTAGAATCAATCCTCCAAAGATGGGTCCACGAATACATACATTGTTATCCCTATAATTTCGTCGATCGTGAAAAACTACAATTTTAAACTTTAAAACACAAACTGCAAAGTGATAATATCCTGACTCGAGGATGCAGATCGAGTTGGATCCTGTGAAAGAGGTAACTCTCCGAGGAAAGCTCGGGTGAGGGCGAGTGGAGGCGCGCTTGTCGCGATTCTCGGAACCCAGCCAACAACAGGCCGTGGCTTGTACAAGTGTATTTAGGTAGATACGCGAGGTGGTGTTAAATTTAGCGCGAACCGACCTGCGCGTTACCGCGCCGCACAAAATGCTTCCGATTATTTTATTTTTAGGGTTACGACGCGTCGCGGCTCCACTGTGGAAAAGCAGAGACACCTGACGGTGTGTTCGATGCTGAACCATCCGCGAATTAATTTGTCAAATCTTTTTTTCTTCTTTCGTTACTTTCTTAAAGTAAAGAAGAGGATACATACGTATAATTGGCTCCTTGGAATCGTTAGGTTAGATTGAATGTTTTAGGGATATTTCATTATGGATACTGATCTTTGACGCATTTTATATTTATAGGTTAATAAAATAAAGCTGGACAACTGAGTTGTTTTCATATCTCTTAAACTTACGAATGTAATGAGAGTGTAATGAGATAACAATAATTATAACGAATTATAACGAATTGAAAAAAAAGAAATAAAGCTAAGGGCACGATTTTCAAAATAAGATACGTATCTGTAAGATTCAATTTCTAAGAAATTTTATACGTGACAATTGACTTGATCGTTAATAAGAATACAATCGCGAGGAAGATTAAGAAAGATAGAAGTTGGAACAACTTGTTGAACGAAGATAGTTGCACTTTCACTGGAGGAAGCATAATCTAAATAGGATCTGCCTTTTTGACAGACAGAGACTCGAGATGATTATCCTGGAAGGAGAAAGCGATGATCTATGTAAAAATAGAGTTTACATAGTTCAAAGAAGAGCTGATTTCATCGACATTGGTCAATGAGCCGATTAAACAAAATCTTAGAAACGTTCAAAGTTTAATCTAAAATTTTAGGGATACCAATCCATTTCTCAAGAGTATAAACTTTCTCATTATTGGACACTGTTGGAGGAGTAAAGTTATTTTGAACAATTATTATTAACATGATATCCCATTCCAAAAAATACTTTCGTCAACAAATCTTGTACAAATACATTTGCAAAATTTACACAGTGCAAATCCATCTGCAAAAAACATTTTACTCAGTGTCCATTAACACAGTGTTCCTTTGCCAAAAAATATTATCCAAAGTAACTCTCGAGAGCTACTTCAGAATTGACTTTTTGTCAAAAACTACTATCAATAATATTTTTTTAGAACAAAATTCTCGTCAGTGTCCACTCCCATAAAATTGGGCCCTCGAATATATTCACCTCGGCTCAACTAGAGAGTGTACGACATGATCGGAAACGCAATGGTTAAACGATACAACGAACCGTTTAAAAATACATCACGCGGCCAATCCATTGCAACGACACGTGGCAATGAACAATTTTCCCGTACCCTCTCGATCGAAGGGTCGTTCACACCTGCAAATTTCCCTGATGACGAGACGTTACGTGGGCATGCATATGTTGCAGAGAGAATGCGCCGCGCCTAGTCACGTATCCGATCAGACGAGAATGGAATCGGATGATGAGCTCGAGCAAGGTTCCGAGACGTTCAAAATTGGATGATTCGTAGGCGTGGACCTAGAAACCCAACGTATATTTCCATCCAACGATCTACTCTGTGGAGGCCATCGAACGTGTCATCGCCTTTGAGGAGGATATAGTTACAAGATTTGATAATCCGTTTGTTAACCAATGAATTTCCCCTTGAAGAAGAATGCTTATCATGTTGATGTCGACATCGAATTTTTATATTGAAAATATTTGAATTACAATTCATCTAAAAAGTTGAAGTTCTAAATTTGATTGTTGAGGAGAGTATAGTTATTAGATTAGATACATTATCAGGTGAATTAGATTTAAGAGCTTGGATTAAAGTTTTATAATTAGAGTAGAATTAGATTTTCTCATTATTCAATTGGATCTTTCGTTCATGTCTAAAAGAAGAGAAGATCATTCTCAATATCTTACAAAACGTAATTGTACTGATGTAACATAAAAATTCGTTCATTAGAATGAACGAAACTTTTGCTGTGAACCACACAAAATTTCATCTAACGTTCAATGCAATATTTTTTCGTACAGCAACGAGATTCGACGAGCGGTTCCAAGCGGACGACGTCCAAGAGCGTAGGCGTGCGAGTTCTAAAGGAACGTGGCCAACACAAGTTTTATATTTTTATACAAAAATTGTCGTCACGTTAAGCTACTCTCTATATATCACCACGTTTGTGACGTAAATTTGTATTAAAACGAAAAATAATAGAAGAGGAATTGACGTAAATCATACATACATTCTAGTGAAAATTAAAAAATGATGTTATGAAAACTTTAATTTAAAAAGAGACGATAATATAAATGAAAAAAAGAATATATTAAATAATTTTTAAAAAAATGGAAATTTTTAATAATTTATATGGTAGTTTAGAAATGGTAAAAATTAAATGGTCCTGTGAAAATTTCAATTTTGAAGAAGAATTTGCAAATGAGGAACAAGAGGTAATCGAACGATCTCGATGCATCGATTATTTCATCAAGCTGTTCAGTGAGATTACTCATCCGCATAGATATAGAATCTCGTTGTGGGTGGCAACTATAAACATACGATGCTTCCCTTCGAAGCATCGATTTTAGGTACGTTAGTTACTTCCTAAAACGTTTTCTTACTTTATTCTTATCTTATTTGTATAGAAAAATCTATACGATTTATTAAATTGTTAACTTTCGTTCTAGAGACAAGATTTCAAATCCAAGATGGTGGTTTCGCGTAATTTCTCGATTATTTATAACGTATTCCGCTTGAGTTGGTTAAGTGTTGGTTGCCAAGTTGGAAATTGTTGTGCACAAAATGGATACACGATCAGTTTCATTTATGCATTATAAATAGATGAAAATTTCTCTCTTCCTTATGTAATCTGATAAAATTTCTAAAATTTAAACTTGTTATTTATATCGTACGAAATTTTATTTATTCATTCAATTGATTGATGATCTTTAATAAATAATCTTTAGAGAGATATAAAGATAACAATTATATACTGTTACCGATATATTTAGTAATTTAGCTAGTAACATTGAATCGATCGAGAGAAGTCAATAGGGAAGCGATTAATCGAAATCGATATATTATTACGATTCATCGAACGAAGAATCTTTCGATGAATGCTCTCCGGTGTTTTCCTATTCAAAGAAGAAATATAGTTCGAGAAGATTCTTTCTTGGAATCGTCGCAAGGTCTTGGGATTGCCATCATCAAGTAACGAGCTTTTTTTCCCTACTATTCTCTACTATTTTATCGTAATAATATATTCGAAAATAAAAAAGTATGGTTAATAACATTTATTTAGAAGTTTTTGAAAATGGACGAAACTTGGACCAGATTTATTTATTCTTATAATCACGCTTGGCAGTCAACTTTGTTTACTGATTCTCTATTTATGCAATTTTACGTGGCTTTAAATAAACGCGTGAATGTGAAGCTAAGAAAATTCTATGAAAGATGGCCAAGGAATTCAATCCTCATAAATGAGATATTGATGTGTTATTATACAACTTTGGAAAAAATGTATTTAAAATTCACCACGTAAATTATTCTATACCAGGAAGAAGAAAGGGATTAAATTTCCTAAATTTCTCTTTAAGATCAAGGTATATTTAAGTATCTACTTATCTTATCCATATCTTTATAAAAAATTAAAAATAATAATTACACCTTTCCAGCTTAAACAAATTCATTTTTCAATGTATTAAATACATTCTACATAAATAACAAAGATATAATTTGAATTGGAAATGCAAGATACAAAAGTCTCGTAACCGGTTACGTGAATTTCTTAATCTCACCATATTATATGAACCCTATGGAACCGGGAAAAGATCCCGACCTTTCCCAATCCCCTAACGCGCTCCAAAATTGCTGCTGCTGCTGCTGCTGCTATTTCTGTAAGCAGCTTGAAACCAACAAGGAAAATCAACTGCGCAGATCACGGAAATCTCAGCCATTCTTTCAATCAAAGAATCTTCACAGACATTAATGAACACTTGCAGGATGATGCTGTTTGAAAATTCTTAAATCATCTTCGTTTAAATACACAATTTAAATGGGAACAAAGCTGTTCTACGCGCACTCAAGGATAATCACCTTAAACAATTCTAAAAACGAAGAAAAAAGAGAAGAAGAAGAAGAAGAAGAAGAAGAAGAAGAAGAAGAAGAAGTTGAATCAGAAAGTAGCAAAAGGAGCAAACAGGACCTCCTCACTGGTCGAGTCCTGTCGAGCCGAACTAGAAACCAGTTTCGACTATCTTTCCATTTCTGGGCCCTCTTGCAAAATAATTTTCTAACTTATAATATTAGTGAAACGACAAGTTACAAGCATTTCATTTTTTCATTTTTGTGTCCGGTGGATATATATGAAGTTGGTGGATATTTATACAAAAATTGAATATATAAAAATCTAGAGAAACACAAAATATCTAAAGTATAATACGAATTTTGTATAATAATCAAATAATTTATGATTGATAAAATTGATTTATTTTTTTAGTTGTAAAAGAGAATTTATTCTATTTTGTGCAATTTTTCAATAAGATGTTAGATTCTATTTAAAAAAATTTATAGTGAAACTATATATTTATTTTTTTAATCCTGTACTAGAAAATTTATTGTGAATTGTTTTTAACGAAATTTCGTAACTAGTATGTCTAATTATACTAGTGAATAGTATTATTGACTAAGTTTTCTGTGACTTCAACGGCAAGTGGAATATAAACTTGGACATTAGAATCACTTGTTTCAATTAACGTGTACATAATATTTCTTGTTCGTCACTTTGAGATTATCTATTTCTACAACTAAATTTTCTTAATTCACTGTGCAATATTGAGCTGCAATAATTTTGTAAGAGAATCTTAATGAGATCAATTATTGTTACAGATCATTTTGAACGATCAAAAACCTTCTGATGATTATTCCTGATAACAAATCTCTAATGATCGAGGATTCTTGGACAATTGGATTAAAATTTATTGTTCCCTATGTTGTTGCATATGAAACGATCAATTTCACAAATTTATAAAATCATTCAGCAGTAAGTGAGTAATTAAATGTAACGTGAATACAATTTATAATAATATTTTATCAATTCTCTCGTGATACTATACTTTCAACTTTTTCAGCATCCAACCAAGAGTCTGCCAATAAAATTGGCAAAATCTCCTTATCTCAAAAATCAAGTCTCCTTATCTAAAATCAACTTTTCCCATTCCAGTCGCTTAACAAACCGACTAATCATCCCTCCTCGTTTCCAGAGATAAATGGAATAAATGGAAAATTGCACGCTTACCCCACGAAAGTCGAGGTGCTCATGCTGAGGGTAGCGTATCCACCGCAGACGATAGGAGAGATTCAGCCGTGTGCGCCGGGTTAAAGCTCGCGGCCGCCTCGTGCCGCTTTCCACCAGCCGACAGGAACCGGTTCTTCTCTTCTAGGCTGGCCTGTTCCACCGTGAAACGTAACGAGGAGGTGGTAGATGACGGATATGGAAAGGGACGAGCAGCACCGATGCCGACACTAGCGCGCGCCCGCCGCTACTGCGGCCGCCACGAGATCCATGGATCGTGGACCGCGATCCGGATTTCGTCGCCGTTCCTCTTTGCCCGCGCGAGACGCCAGAGGTCGTGACGCGAGTGGGTGAATCGCGAGATGGTATAGAGAAGAGGTTATTTCAAGGATGGAGAGTGCGATTGATGGGACGAAAAGGGGTGGTTTCTCATTTCCACATCAGAGGATCCATCCAAGGATTATTTTTGTTTTTCAAATGAATGGAATGGAAAAGAGGAGGTTTCTAAGAATGAATTGTGAATGGTGTTAGAAGGTACGTTTGAGGTGTGGAGAAGATTTTAAATCCAAACCATTTAACAGTGGTTTGACTATAAATTGAAAAAAATTGTGGAATATTAAGTTTTTTAAGAGGATTTCGCTTCAGTTCTCCAGCAATTAAATATTTCATCTAACTTCTTTTTTCCTTTTATAAAATATATAGTCGAACCATTAAATATTTTCTATGATTCTATTTATGTGGTTTTAGGGTCGAATAAAATAAAATTATAGGAAAAGAATATTGATTTTCTAGATGGATAGCTATCCAACCATTTACTTGAAGGGAATAATAGAAACGGTTAAAACGGCGGGAAATTTCTCACCTAACGAATAAACCAATGATAAAAAAAAAACTAATGCTTCCTGATTCACTGTTACATTTCATCGAGAAATGTTTCTTTATCCATGGTCATCCATCCACGACGAAATAAAACATCGTCAACAGACTCTCGTATCTTCACTTTCTTCTCGCAAAACATGGACAAGAAATTCGCCATTCTTTTTTTTTTTTTTTTGTTTGCACATATAGAAAATATGGAAAAAGATATCTCATAAAAACTTGTTATACCAAGTTTCTAATTTCGCGTTCGATCGAGCATAACTATAACGCAATTCCACATAGAATGGATAGAAATCAATTTCATCATATCTTAAATATAACGAATTTTTAATTACAAAATTTAGTACAACAATTCGATATTATTATTATTATTATATCTCTTATAAATTAAATTTAAATTTATAATT